CATTCTCAGCATTTGTCTGTTCTCCCACTGAGTTGAGTCGGAATATTTTTGTTATTGCCTCTGTCCTATTCGTAGTGAGAGCCTGGTTGGAAAGTGAACATTGTGAGTTGTATCTCTCAAATAATGGTACTGAGTTTTCATTGATGCGAAAATTTGCAACATTGGTTGTATTCTTATTGCTCATGAAGTTTTCTGATTATATGTACACTCATTCAAAATTGCATACTTAAAGAACTAAATTGTTTGAGTTTCACTCATTTTTTTCTACATTCATCGAGCATTATCAAAGTAACCCCAAATCAAAATACTGAAGTTCGGTCACAAAATTTAAAAAAAATAAATAGTGCAAATGCTTTAATTTTCGTTCAACATATTACTAACGAATTGATTCTTGGATCCCCAGTACTTGTTTTAAAAATATAGAATTTGAAAAACATTCATTGCTGTAAAAAATATTTAGAATAGACTTTAAAAAACTATCAATTTTACCCCGTTTTACGGTACTTGATATTACCGTTTTCAGTAGTTTGTCACAAAAGCTACTGAACATCAGTAGTTTTATTGCGAAAAGCTGAATGTTTGGTATTTTTTTGTGATTTGTAGTTCGAAATTTAAGAAAATCGAACAGGGAAGCTTAGTTAGCAGAAACGGTAAACACTAAGCTACCGAGCCAGGTCTTGTTTATTTCATTTTAAATAATATTTTATACATTCTTAAAAACTGAAAATTTATTATTATTACAACTGAAAATAAAAATAAAATCAACAGCTTTCAGTGAAAAAAAAAACGAAAAACCAGAGATAATATCGTTATAAGAAACCAGACAGTAGACGTAGTGTACAAACGTCTGCTATTGACTATGTGCATCACTTCTTCACAGCTACTGACTATGCGCGCCGCCATAGTAACTGAGTATGCGACACTACCAACTAAAAAAAATTAAAACCAATCGTTGAATGAGTGAGCGATGACCAGCATGTGAAAAGTGATGTTTGTTTGTCTTTGATTTTAACTTTAATTTTCATTATAGATACTATAGATTCCATAGATAACCGGAGGCAAAGTATAATGTAGCCAAACGAACTGTCGGTTAGTGTAGCCAAACGAGCATGACGTCAGCATGGTGTTGTTTGAGGGAGAAGTATAGTAATATTATGAGAACAAAACGTTTTCCACACTCCACATTCCGGTTTATTTCACGGACAACGCAAGAAGAAAAGATAAAGCAAACTATTCCTCGATTCATTGTTGCAAATATTTGCTTTGCACTTCATTTTGAACTTTTACGCACGAAACAAAACAAAACTGCACAACTAAGAGCTCTATAATGGCATGAACTTTTTTCACGGATGCCAGTAAGATCATTTATTATTCATGGTAGATAAAACAACTTTTTGTGCCTCCGTTTATCTATGGAATCAATAGTATCTATATTTTTCATGAGTCGTACACAATATAAACACTATACATTGTCAGTGTTGGTTCTTTCGCAGTTCTTCAGAGAATCATTTCACTAAGAACGAAAACAAAATGAGAATAAAAGTTCCCGAACGAGATGTGCGAAACAGTTCAGCAAACGATTGCGAAAGAGAATTCCGATTTCGCTCTCTCAACCTATTTCACAAAAAAAATCGAGAAACGAGCTACTTGAGATTCTTGTCTCTTATGTCATGTTTCGTCGCGGAGTAGAATGAAATTATCTCGCTTAATTTCTGCCACTCTGCTGATTGCATACATGTAGGAGCTACCCGTTCGTTACAATTGGTGGAAGTATACATTTAGGATGCATTCAATACACATTTATAAGGCTTTCACTTTCTGTAACTCTTGTGTTACGTTACTCATAACAGCAATTCAAACTTCAATGGCTGCTCACGAGTTACCAATAAAAAAGTTCTCGAGTCATGGTTCGCGATCTATTTCATCACAAATCGGGAACGAAAAGTTGTGCAAGGAAGCTAAAGCAAAAAATATCTTTAAACATACGCTCTCGTAGGTAGTTTATTAAATTTTTAAATTCAAACGGAAACAAGCCCTTAAAAGGGTATCCTTTAAATTAGCGCTAAACGCAATCATAAAATAAGAATAACCAATTAACTAGAACAAAGTTGAAGAGCCAAAGGCTAACCAATAAAAATGTAAAACCAAATGTTGAAACTTTAAAAACCAGCAAATAAACGTAAATTTTACTACTAAAACACAGGTGCAGGTGAGTCAAAGTGGGAGTAATATTAGTTCCTCTCAATCTCAAACAAGGAAGTTCGCTTTGCGAAATTCCAATCGATAATTTCCCTAGTGAAAACATCTCGCTTGCGATAATGAACTTATGGTGAATATTGCAGCGTAGTTGGGTTAACATTTTCGATGGCGCATGAAGAACGAAAAGAAGCAGTACAAAACCAATGTAAGCTGGCTGGACGAGTTTTTTCATGCATCTTATGTAGCACGCTGCAATATGCCAAATTTAGACCTGTGAACCAAATGATAATAACTTACAATAAGCATTGCGAAACTCATCACTTTACACTGAGAAAAACCCAGTTGATGCAACATTTCAATTATATTTGTATTTTTAACACGTTAAAATTATACATGTTTAACCTTTCAAATGCATAAGGAAACAAATGTATGAGAATCCGGGTCAAAAATGACCCCAGTGCACTAAGAAGATTAAAGCAGGTATTGCTATTTTTTTAGTAATAAGACATAAAACAAAAATATCTTCAGCAAAATAAAACATAGAATAACAAATGTACAACACGGCTCTTTTAAAGGTCGTTCTACCACAACAAACCTCCTGGAATTTGTTGATTACTCATTAACTGCAATTGACAATGGAATCCAAATAGAAGCTCTTTACACTGACTTCAGTGAAGCGTTCGATAGACTTGACATTCCAATGTTGATTTTTAAATTAGAAAAAATGGGAATTGAAAAAAATGGGAAACTCCTCACCAGGATTAAGTCATATTTAACGGACCGTCAGCATATTGTAAGATTCAGCGAGAAAAAATCTAACCCAATTCAAGTCACGCAAGGAGTTCCACAGAGCTCGCACTTGGGACATCTTCTTTTGATTTTGTACGTTAACGATATCTCTCTTATTTTGAAAAATCTCAGAGTGCTTATTTATGCTGATGACATGAAACTATTTTTAGAGATAAGAAATGATGATGATATGAAGTTCATGTTTTTATACGTGGTGTTGTAAAAGTTTGTTGGAACTTAATGTTAAAAAAATGTAATCTTATAACTTACAGTAGAAAACTAATAAAACCAGATATTCGTATTACATCAGGTAATCTAATTGTTCAAAGTTGTGATAAAATAAGAGATTAAGGAGTTATTCTTGATTCTAAATTAACTTATGTGGATCATTATAACACAATAATTCATAGAGCAGGCAATATGCTTAATTTTATAAAGCGTTTTGGTTTCCACTTTAAAGATCCTTACACAATTAAAACAGTTTATGTTGCCTATGTGAGGCCAATATTTGCATATTGCAGTGTTTTTTGGTCACTTTATATGAAAAGGCATGAAGAAAGGCAATTTTTATTATGTGCACTACGTAAATTGGGATGGACAAAATTTCCTCTCCCATCTTATGAAGCTCGTTGCTTGTCAATCAACATTCCGTCATTAAAAGAGCGTCGGGATAATGCTATGGGGGAAGCGGCGCTGGTGGTGTACGTGGTAAGCGTGATTACCTCTCACCCCAGCAGGCCTGGGTTCAATCCCAGTCGGCGCCGCCGGGATGTTCTGAGGCATAACATCTCTGATCACGCCTTCCTTCGGAAGGGAAGTAAAGCCGTTGGTCCCCGGTTCATGAGTTGATGGGTCGATAGGTAGGGTCCAGGTGTGGGAGCTGCCTTCCTGGCACGTCGGTAGCATTGGTGCTCAGCACGGAAAACAAGATCGACGAAAAACAAATCAAAGAAAAAAAAATAATGCTATGGTCTCTTCCGTGAACAATATTGCTTCGCAACGCATTGACTCAGCTTATTTATTATCAAGACTTAATTTTTATGTACCTTCTCGTCAATTGTATAATCGACATTTGTTCGCGGTAGATCGTCACCGCACTAACTACGTGAAATATGGACCGATAAATCGGATGATGTATGTTTATAATCTACACTGTGAAATGATAGACCTAAATATGCCGCCTCTAAAACTGAAAAAAAAAATATTACCAAGCACTGCGAAATCATAGATCATAAGTTATAATGTTATTATGTAGTCTATGTTTTTTGATTGACGCTATTTTTTTATATTTTATGTAAAATTAAATGTCTTTCAATTAAAAATACTAAAATAAGAAGTTGTTAAAGACCCTCGCAGTGAAAATCAAGAAAAATCCTTTGTAACATATTGTTTCATACAAAAATAAATAATTTTTCGAACCACCCTAACACGAAAATGGTTACCCTACTGACGGAGTAAAAACTACGAGTCTAATATTTTTTGAAAAAAAAAGTATTATACCAATTTTTACGAAATTCTGAGACTCACTATAACTTTTTTCTATAGAATTGCTGTAATTGTCCGTTATGTTTATAGTCCGGCGGATATAATATCGGGAACCAATTAAGCTATCAATTATTGGACACAAACGAGCATATCACGACCAACAACTGAAAAGAGCACATAAGCTTTTGCGAATATAAGTTTGGAAACCCCTTTCTCGAGACTCAAAACTCGCCTACGCAAACCAAAACCATCATCGGGTTGGGAAAAGTTTCCCTTATCCAATGATGCTGGTAATTTGCATTCGGCTGGCGAGGAATGAATAATCAAAGTTTTGTGTTTACAAGTTTATAGTGCCTTTTCAATTGTTGGTCTACAAAATATTAAATTTGTTCCGCTTTTCGATAGATCGACATTCTATCCGACTATAACTATGACTATTCGACTAAAATAACGATCAAATTTCTTCAGAATATATTGTGTTATAGAGACCATCCCTAGATGCAGCTTCAAACGTGATCACAAACACCAATCGAAAGAAAAGTAAACAAATAAAAATACCATGAAAAACGATCGGCAAAATACACGATACAGATCTTGCAGAAACTAGTCGCATACGGGTCGTTATGTTGTTAGCACACGGTTCACACCTGCTTCAAAGGTGGCTTTGAGACAGTAAAATCATACCTCAACTGTAAATCAATGTGTTGGCTCCTAAACCATCAGTAGCAATATCACACGCGTAGTCAGTGATAGTAGGCACTTGATTAATAAATATTCGATAAACAAGGTAGAACGATCAACGTATTAAAAGCAGTGACCTCTTTAAGTAAGTCGATGACGGATATCTGTGATGTGGTGTTGTTTTATTTTCGAAAGCTATGGGTAATGGAATTTGTTGAACGTTCACCACGTGTATAGAAGGTGTAAATAAAGTATTGAAAGAACACCTTCAAACGAGCTTACTGAACGGCAGCAAAGTGATTTTTTTCTTGTTTTCGTTTCTCTTTCGGCGTAGCTGCGAAATAGAGTGTTAAATAAAAAATGGAAATGAAACTGCAACCAGCACTTCAAATTTGTACCGTTCTACTGATCGTAGCACAGCTGAAGATGATTGAGTCATCGGGATTCGGAAAGTGTCCAAACTACCCATCAATGCCAAAGTTCAACATGACCAGGGTAAGTTTCATTGTAACCAGAGCGTAAAATTACGTGATTTTCAAAGATCTATGGGTGCCAAACGGCCTACAGTTTATTTTATAAACTAGAAACAAGAACATGAAATCATTGCTTAATTAATTTGCTTTTTTAACCTTCAAAATATGGTTGACCTAGATCGATGACGCTGACGCTATGACGCTATGGAGATTCAAAATGTGATAGCTAGAATAGAGATTTAATATTATACAGGCAAAACGACTGTTATCAATAATCCATCCACAAATAAAGAGTAATCAAACATCGATCACAAAATATTCTTGTAGCTTATAGGATATAGGGTGTTTTGAAAATGCTCGCTTAAAGTATTGTAATGAATAAAATAAAACCATTCGCACGAATGTTACCTTGTTACGTAAATACTTGCACAGTAAAAGCGGTAAGTGACATGCGACCGCAAAACGTGATGCAGTGCTAGTTATGGGCCCATTGTAACACTGCAGTTAGTTTTGGGTGAGTAACTGTGAGCGCTCCACTAATTCGTGCAACATATGTTATTCCAACACCCTCGCACGATATGAAATAAAAAATGGTTTTGTGGTGCTACTTCATCGTATCGGGACCAATTTTTGATGTGCACTATAGAAGGCAGTCTAAGTAGCAAATAGATGCTTTATTTATTTAGTGATTTCAAAAGGCAAAGCGTCATATAACCATAGGAATGCTTATTAAAGTTATAATATATACATTTTATGTATCTTAAATTTCTCACTGGGCACTATTTAGATTACAGCAGAGGAGCTGAAGTTGGTACATGTCCTACGCATAAACATACCGGGATAGGACAGTCAAACCGATGATCTAAATCCTTATAGTGATGTTTCATTTATTGTAGAAGTAATTATTTCCGCTATTGTTGTTCATCAAGTTTATTTATTAATGTTGTAATATTTCCTCACTACTATTAAATATGTTAAGATTTCTAGTGATATAATTTCCCAAACACTATCATTAGGTAGGTAAACTTTGTCTTACCCACCCATAGTTGACCTAAGTTTGTTTTGAACACTCTTCTGGAAAATCGTGTTCGTAAGTGTAAATTCGTCGAAGTTCTATCAGAAAAAGTTGTGAACCATTAATTAGAGATAGTTTGAATGTAGGGGGAGATTGGTTTTTGTTTTTAAATGTGTAAAAAATTGCTGTGAAGAACAAAAAGATGCCAAAACAAAAAGTCGTCTTGTCTTAGGTTTTTCTTCTTCGCTTTTCATGCTATCGCTTGCTCTTAGCTTATTGCGTGCTTTCAACATAATGTTCGAAATGTACTTCCACAGTTATTAATTGGGCTTTCGATGTCAATACCAATCCATGAATTTGTATATTGTGTGGCAAACACAATGATACTCTATGCCCAGGAAGTCTAGAAAATTTCCAACCCACCGCCTCCGGCTTGGTAATACCGTGCCTTTACTTACTAAACTATGAGGCCCCTTTGTACTAGTTTTTTTTTTCCTTGATTTGTTTTCCGTCGATCTTTTTTTCCGTGCTGAGTACCAATGCTACCGACGCCAGGGAGGCGGCAGCTCCCACACCTGGACCCTACCTATCGACCCATCAACTCATGAACCAGGGATCAACGGCTTTACTTGACTTCCGAAGGAAGACGTGATCAGAGATGTTATGCCTAAGAAAATCCTGGTGGTGCCGACTGGGATTTAACCCAGCCCTGCTGGGGTGAGAGGTAATTACGCTTACAGAGGCGCCTGATTTGTACTAGTTGAACGGCTTTTGAATACACCTTGTTGCATGTTAGTGATTCTGTTTTTGATTAGATGGAATAATTTTTAATTAACGATTGCTTCAAAAATCATTGGAATGTAAGAGATAATGACAATCCTAATGCACTGAAGTCTTTTTTACACGTTTCTTTTACGCGATTTTTTAACACGGTTTTTTTTTACACGATTAGTGCCGCTGAGTCGCGATTTACACGGTACGTTTTTAACGATTTCTCGACTACGATTAAACCTATCGACTTAATTTCAATCACATTATCCGTTTCAAGCTATCGAAACTAGTAAGCTAGTAGGGTTAACTATCCCATTTTCAGCCTATTAACCATAACCCGCACTTAGTATTTCTTAATCCACTTCAGTTTAGCTTCAAACGGAATGTTATTATTACTGATGGCTTCCAAATTTATTTACTTTTCCGTACGTACTGTAAGATTTGAAAACGAGAAACCAATCGTTGAGATATTGTCAAAAGTCCAACACTGCTTCTTGACGCCAAACTCGGCCTAACGCATTGAAACGCAATTGAAACGCCATTGAATTTACTTCGGCCTATCGGATGAAGATACAAATTGTTTCGGTCGGAGCGCTTCTTTTGTTTTTGGGAATAATGGGTGCAAACCTTCATACCACGCGTCCGCATTGACTTCGTTCGGTAGCTTATTAACTAAAGTATCGTACCAAACGCATAATTGACTTGTTAACTCTGAAATCATGGATTTATTTGAAGTTTTCTGCTCGATAGGCCCAAAATGGGTGATTAGGCTGAAGTAGTTCTCTACCCTAATGGCATACTTTTTAAAAAAATCACATTTTTTGGTGTGAATACAGAAATTTTTAAAATTCGTCCTTATGGACCATACCATGCTATAATTACGAATGACATTAAAATCCGATTTTTTAAAAATATTTAAGCATGTGAAAAATCAAATCTCGGTACGTTTTTACACGGTACCCGAGCAAAGTTAGAGATCAAATTGAAATCAGAATTTGCTGTTATGATGTAACTTATTTTGAATACTCCATTTGATTTCATTTTGGTTGACTTAACGGTTAACACAGCAAAAATGAGAGCAACATTTTACACTGTTGAATCAAACAGAAACCTAATCCTGCTTTCAATGAAATCAATTTAATTGCTGATTTTGCATTCATAATGTTTAACTGAATACGAGCCTGCAAACTGCAAACATTAATATCGGTTTGCTTCCATTTAGTTAACCGACTTTGCTCGGGTGCATATTCCCCGTGTAAAAAAGACCTGAGTGTACTGTAATTACGCATGTAAGATTTTTTTTTCCACTTTTAAAAATAGGCACTAAGAAAGAATTTTTTCATGTTTTGAGCAAGCAACTTATTAAAAAACCAAAACAGTGGAGCCGTAAGTTCAATTGCTAAGCTTTTCATAAATACGAGTGGAGTCAGATCCTGAATAGACTGGTCCCACAAAAATAAATGTTCTAATTTTCCACGGGCCAACCTCTAGATTTGTGCCTTAGGTGAGAAAATCATTCTTTGAATGTTTTAGCTCAGTTGGTTGTAGGATGAGCTGGCGCTTTAAGTTTGAATTTTGTATGGGGATTTTGGATAAAATACAAGAAAAAAATAAACTTCTAAACTCTATCGATTATAAAAAAAATTCCTGAATCTCGATTTGATTCAGATTTTCAGTTGTAGTTCAAATAATCAGTAACAACTTTGCTGAAGACTGCATTATGAATCCGGTTAGTTTCATTGAGATATTCGCTTTTTAATGTATATGAAAATTTTGCATATGAAAATTTCAACCAAATCCCATATACAAACATTAAACCAAAAGCACCAGTCCACAGTGCTGTTAATTTTCATATCATTCGATTGAAGATGAACCAATACAACCATTCAATCAATTATGTGGAAACATCAAAAAGGCCTATGATACAACCAGGAGACTATTAGTCTTGAACGAGCTATCCCAACAAGGGATTGGAGGAAAATTACTGGCTTATATCCACGAGACTCTCAAAACAAAACATTTCAAATTAGAATCAATGGACAATACTCTGACGAAGTAGAAATGGAAACCAGACTATGCCAAGGATCGGTCTTGAGTATTACACTGTTCTTAATTGCTATAAACACGATAACCAGCTTAATCCTAGACGGAGTAAAAATACTAATCTATGCAGATGATGTCATCCTTCTAGCAACTGGTACAAACGCCAAAATAACAGAACATCTATTACAAATCACATTAAATAAAATATACGACTGGGAGATGAAAACAGGATTCCAAAATATCATGCTTGATATTGATTTTACAAGCTCCTTTGATATTGCGAGACAATTCACAACGTGTAAAGTTGTGTCTGGGAGTAAACATTACCTTAGTTCGAAGTGTTTCTGATTAAATGACAAGATCATATGGTATTCGGTCATTGGGGCCCATGCATTAATTGTGTCACGCTAAATCGAGCAAAAAATTACGTTAGCGTTTGCATTGGAAATTGAATATGAATCCTGATGAATGTGGGCGTTGAATTATAAGATTTCTGTATGAAGCCAAAATTTATGAATGTTTTTCCACTGAATGTTGAGATATTGTATTGATTATTTTATTAGCACACTGTATACCATGAAAAAGCAGCCTGCTGGTGAGTTTTTGCACGTTTCCAAGTAAGGAGTTACTATAAAAATACAAAACGCCTGCTGATATTTCCCGGATACATTACAAAAGCATACAAGCAAGCGCAGTCATCATGCAAACATATCTAGAATTTGATGTACTTCATATTTCACAAATTTGCTTTCGAGTGCTATGACGTCGTGGTCATCCTCTCCCGCAATGTTTACCTTTTCCCTCTACCAACACATACGTGAAGGCTAGATCTCCACATCAATTATACACCAGGTTGAATTGGAATAACTTTTCCTATGACCTTGACAGATAATCGATGGTTCCAATTTTAACATGTCGTCTCTTTATAAATTCAGCCTCTTTAGGGGCAATGTGGCATCATATAACATGTCAAAACATCATGTTGAAGTCGTAATCCTGCTTGGATATCGATTTGGAAAATTCCACTTCAATCCTTCAGATTATTATAGTAATCTGCATGGAAGTCGATTTGGACAAACGTTTTACTACCGCCATGGCGCCTAAGCACAAAAAAGGAGCAATCTCTTGATCCCCCTTCTGATGAAATTAATTTGAGTGATCTTTCCCTGCTTAATGCCAAAAAGGAAAAGATT